TGGCCGTTCCCCGGTCTGGGGTCTTGTGACCCCAGCATTCATTCCTGCCTGTGGCAGGGGGTCAGGCCAGACGATCTGTTCAGGTCCCTCCTGACCCCAAGTACTATGAAACTATGACATTTGGCATTTGGTCAGATTTAAAAAACCCACTCGGATGGAGATCAGAGGGCTCAAAAAGAAGACATGTCCAGGAAAACCTGTACACATGGTAACCCTATTTGAGGGCAGTGGGGAGCTCCATGGCCAGGCCAGCAGCACTGGGGCCAGTGCCCATGCTCATGGGGTGGGGGGAGGGGTGGGGGGTGGCCAGATGTTGCCGCAGGGTCAGGGGTAGGGCAGGCTGCCTGGTGCAGCCTAGAAGCCCCACTCTGGGGTGAGGAGTGCCACAGGCCTCCTCTCCTCCTCCCTCCAGCCACGCCAGGACTGGACTGAGTCTACTGCCACCTGCATGAATTGGAGGTGCTGCACTCCAGCCTTGTTGGATGGGGCAGCTGGAGGCCCCCTCCAGCAGGGCTGGGGGGAGCAAGGGGCTGTGGGCTGAGTGCAGGGCACTGGCAGCACCAGGGTGTTGCAGGTCAGGAGTGAGAAACACCAGCAAGGATCAGGGGATAGGGGACTGTGGGTTGGGAGAGCAGGGCACCAGCAGGGCCAGGAATGAGAGGGCAGCAGCAGGGATGGGGCACTGTGTATTGGGACTGAGGGGCACCAGCATAGCTCTGGGGGACAAAGGACTGAGAGGCAGGAGTGAGGGGCACTGGTAGGGCTAGAGGTCTGCAGGTCAGGAGTGAAGGGCAGCAACAGGGATTGGAGGGCTGCAGGTTGGTAGGGAGGCGTGTGTATGTCCCCCCCAGGTGCCCTCTGTTTTGGGACAGGAAACACGGTAACCCTACATATTCCTCCTTTTTGTGCCCAGTCCTTTCACGAAAAACTATTGAGTAGGATGGGGAAATCCTGGCTTCCCCTGTCCATAGAGATCATAGCCATTTCTCCTTGACAGCGGTGACTGAATGTCTGCCTTGGCAACTTTTGAGGGAACTTTCTGCGCCCCCCCATGGTGACTATGGGTATCAGCATTCAGTGCTACCCAGGGAGTCTGCAAAACAGTTAGCACATGGCAGCAGGTGCACAAGTGACCTGCTGCCATCCCCGGGAGGTAGTGATGAAAAAAAATAACAATCCAGAACTCTTCTGGCTCCTTGACCTATTTCACCCAATTCCAAAGTTCAACTAATACCTCTCCTTGTGGCACCGTGCTGAAGTCCTGAGACATCAAATCCAGCCCCCGCCCTACTTCTGCCTAAACTAGCAGCTCTGGAAGACAGGGAACAGCGTAGCCTGCCCTTTGGTGGTCCCACGCTGCATTTACTGCTCTAACTTGAAGAATCATACTTTCCTCCAACATTTGGTGCCCGAGGCCGGTGCACTGGGTCCATAGCTGCCTTGGCTGTTCCCCAGCACTAGGGACGTGGAGCCGCCCGCTGGGAACAGCGCTGCGTGCGGCGGAAGGAGAAATGAACCCTCTCCTTTTGCCATGCCTCCCGAGCGCGCGTGCGCCCAATAGTCCGCCACATTCTTCGCGGGCACTCACCGCGCAGGCACCCTTCCACTCTCCCAGGGCGCACTGCGGTTGTTCGGAAGGGTCTCGGCCCCTTTGGAGCGTCACACGTCACAATGCTCCCTCTGTCCAGTCGGAAGCCCCGCCGCGGGGCTGGGGGCGGGGCCGGAGCCCTGTTGCGCGCTTGTTACCGGAAACGGCAGTTGCTAACCTCTCCGGTTGGCTGCGGGGGAGCGGCCTGGCTCGCCAAGACCCACCGGCCGCCGCCCGGTCCTAGTGCCGGCCTTTCACCAGGCTCCGGGTGCTCTGCTCTGATGCCCTCCCACAGCCCCCTCAGCAGGGGCCGGGAGACCCCGGTGAGGTGAGAGGTGGTGTCGGGGGAGCTCCTTGGTGCGGGATGATAGTTGTAAGGGGCAAGTGCAGGCACGGGTCCTAGGTGTTTCCTGCAGCTCCTTGCAGGGAGGTGTCTTCCCTGGCAGTGCAGTGCGTTTGGCAGGTGGTCCCCAAGTAGCACCTGATGCCTTAAAAATAACAGACGGCTCAAAAAACAAATGTAGCAGTTACTTTGTCTTTCTTGCCACTTCATGAAGTCATTAAAAGTCTAATGCACACAAGGGTCTTTGAGCAGATGCAGTATTATTTATTAGACCAACTAAATAGTTGGAAAAATTGTTTGCAAGCTTTTGGGCGCAAACACCCTTCTTCAGGCCTATCAAGAGTCTATAACCAGCAGCCCTAAAAACCAAATGGATTTTTAACCGGTTTTCTCCTGTGTCTATATGTTTAGCAATTGTAGAAACATCCTGTTTTATCACTTCTAACTTCAGACATATTTCTTTCAGAGGGGCTGGAAACAAAGGTGCAGGGTTTTTCTCTGGAGGGAGGAGTCTTTGTGATGAGTAGTGATTTGCCCTTCTTATGTATGTCTTGGTTTTAAACGTGTGTGTATGGGTGGGCACAACTTGGAAATTATAAATAATGCATGTCACATCGCTTGTTATGTTGGCGCTGTCGATTAGAGGCTTTTAAAAGGAATTGAAGCCAAATTCATTTGATATAAGTGCATAATTGCTCTACTTGCACAACACGAGGCCTGTCCCAACTTGTTACCTGTTACTTACATGGTAACTAACTCCAGCTATTTGTGTATCGTTTCAGTGTGTACACTGATTAAGTGCTTGGGAACTGTTGGCCCCACTGTTTATTTTCTAAAGTAATTTTATTGTGTTTGGCTGCATATTTGGTGAAATTTAATTTCAAGTCTGCAGTTGCAGACTTCATCCTTCAACTGACTAGGGCTTGTCAGTTTTAAGGCTGAAATTGGAGGCATAAAACTTCTGAGAAGCAGGTTAAGCAGCCCTAATAATGTGCAAAAAGCTCAAGGCAGGCTGTTCCTAAAGTTAATAAATCATTTTACACTGACCCTAAATACAAACTGGTGCTCCCCACCAATAGTTAGCTACGTAACTGTGTGGTTACCTCCAGTCCCTGAGGCAGCAATCCAGGCAGTGCAGGGAAAGTCAGGTTACTCCAAGGCTGCAACTTGGTGAGTGAGGAGATGGTGGGGCCAAAGTCTGGCATGACATCTTGCACATGGGGTCCATAAATGGCTCGGATTGCTTAATGTCCATCTCATGTTCCTTGTTCCCCTGTGGCAGAGAGTGGTTAATTTCTGTTCTCTTTGCTGATGAGGAAAGCGGGAAGTCCTCTGAAAAGTCCTTATCCTCCTGTGCCAGCTCCTGGACATCATGGGGGCAGGCTGAGGGTGGGCCTCTGTCACTCAGTTCTAGGAGTGGAGTCCTACTCTGTGGGCTGAGCTTGTTTGGGAGTGTTGACTACAGTGGAAGTGGATGGACTCATCGCCTCTGAGAATCTGAGAGCTTCTTCCAGTAGGAGAGAGGTTGGTATCTCTGGCCCTCTTGTACTGAAGTACCTTTGTCTTCTGAGTGGCACTACTACCAGTCCCACTTCTGTCCCCAGGCTGTCATTTTGGTGGAGATGCCTTCAAAGACAGTCTAGTTCTGGTGGTTTGTCCTGAGCACTCTGACTTTCCTCTTTGTCCCAGATGGGAAGCTGGTCCATCATCTCCTCCCAACTCCAGGTATTGGCATGCTTGAAAGGTACACAGGGAGCAAGTGGGTTGGCTGGCCTCCCATACTGCACTGAGTCTTAAAGGGTATCAAAACTGCTGCTAGTGCTGCCAGTCTCAATCACGCTTGGGAGCGTAGCATGGAGTGGCTAGCTTGCTTTTATACTGGGCAATAAGTAGGTAATCAAGCTCATATGTGACCTACGACCCCAGGTTGTACAGTTTGGCCCAAGTCACAGGGCAGCTGCTTGAAACCTTGGGTAGCTTGGGGGATGGGGAAGGGGAGCAGGAGTACTGCAGTGTGGGATACCTGAAGCACCAACCAGAAACAGTGGATCTCATCACCATTTGGGGAGAGGTGGAGAAACAGTGAGCGCTCCATTCTGGCCACTGAAACCAGGTAGTCTTTGAATGGATCACTGTGGAAATGGCAGCTTGCAGACCTGGTCATGCTTTGGCCCAATGCTGCCCCAAGTGACAAATACTTCGGTAGTAGTTTGGGAGGGCATGGCATGCTAACCATGTTTCGGATGCATGCAGGGTCATGTGTGCCACCTATGAGAAACTATCCTGTGTCTTTGTGCTGTGGTGATGTTCCAACATGTTGATGCAGCCTGCATTGCCCAGTATGGTGATGAAGACACTGATGCCGCTGTGATCAAAGGCACACAGTCTTTGCAGGTTACTTCAGTGACCACCCAGGAGATCAGCTAGGTTGAGAACTCCCAGGCTGTCCTGGATAGTGGTGAAGACTCAGGAATGCACCTGGACTTGGATAGCAAGTGGCCAGAGTGCTTCAGCTGTCCCCTATTTGCAGCACCCTGGACAGCCCTATTGCCTTATGCCAGTACTTCAGAGCGATCAGGCTCACAACCAGCCTGTAACCTCATGAGCTGCCCATTGGTATACCAGGGGCTGAGAAGACCCAACCCACCACAGGATCTGACATGTGTCTGTGAATGGCAAGTCTGGTGAGAGCAGTGAAGGGCCCAGGAACACTAGGGGGTTGGTGAGGAAGTGAAACGCTCCCTGTGGAACCCTATGGCCTCTCTTGATTGCCTCAGTGGGTCCCTTCCCCCTTGTCCCCATGTGACTGCATTGTGTGTTGAGGGTGGCATCCCTTCAGTCAAATGGGCCAATTCAGGCCCACCCATTGCTTTGTGGATGCCCATCCATAGTGGTCATTGTGCTGTGGGTTTGTTCATTAGACAGAAGTTTTGGGGACCACTTTAATGGCTCACTTCATGCAGTCCCCACCCTCAACCTTAGCAATAGCCGGCCTACAGCTTCAGAGCCTCCCTTACACCCCAGTTCTGCCTGGCTTTGGGCCCAGACCTTGACATAAGGCACTAGGCACTGAGGAATATGATGTCTTGCCCAACACTCGCTCCAGCCCTTCTGCCTTATAGCTAGATCACTTCCAATTGCTCTGTCACTACTACCATAGAAACCCAGTGGCCTACCCTGCCCCTTGGGGCTAATGAGTGCTTCAAGTGAATCCTGTTGGCACAACCCACCACCCTGTGACCCTCCTTTACCCTGCCTCTACCACTCATGAGAAAGTTGATGCAATGAGCTTCTCTTTCATTCAAGCGCCTCTTTAGGAAGAGATAAAGGTACTTTATTATAAAGCAATAAGCAATGCTTGCCACTGCAAGCATAAGAGTGAGGAGAGAAGAAAGCAAGTGGCTTTTACATCTTCATTGCAGCCACTTGGTCAATGCAATCCTCTGGTTGTGTAAGTCCACTCTGAAATCGCTTAGAGTGCCCAGGGACTCTTGCTATACCTTTTCAGTACAGGCCTGTGGCTACCAGAGGGGCTCATCACTTTCCTGAGTGTCAAGGGAGCAGAGGGGAAGAGAGAATTTTACCATGTTGAGAGTCAGTGGGCCTAATGAGGCCTGTCCGCTAGCTGGATCTTGCAGCTTTGTTTGGACAGCTCTTCTTGCTATCAGGGTAGCAGTGAGCAAGATGACAAACTCCTGTTTCCTATTCTTTCCTTTCAGGCCAGATCCCTGCCAATAGCAGTGACAGCACTTTGGTGGCATATAACAGTTCATGGATGTGGCCAGAGATGGGGGCCTAGAGAGCTGCTACATAGAGGGAAAGCTGCATGTGCATAAAGATGGACTTGCTGAGCTCTCTGGAGGCCAGCTGGTCCTGGTTTGAAGAGGCCAGGAAATGGTGGGAGGAAAAGCAGCTATACTGCTGTCACTGCATAGCAATGGTCAGGTATGGGATCAAGCAGTCCTGGTGCTCTACCACATGGCTTGCAATCACTGAGTGGACAGCAGAGGCACTAATGAGGAAGTCCATGGATTGCTTTGTGTCTGACTGACCTTGCAGACCCAGGAGTATTGTTGGCACTCTTCATGTCACTTGCAATGTAATGGTCCAGCTGGATTCATGTCAAACCTCTGGGGATACATGTTGCCACACAACTTCAAGCTCCCATACAGCTGCTCTATAGCTGAGGTAGAAGCAACCCCCCTCCAGGCAGTGTCCATGTGGACATTGTGGCTAGAACAGATGTCCAGCAGTGGTGGTTGGTAGCTGAGTACCGCTTTGCACAATGATAGGCATGACTGCCAGCTGGGAACGTGCCATATGTGTGTTCTGCATCTGTCTTTGACCTGCACCAGGCTCGCATTCATGGGCTAGCAGTAGTGGCCACTAAGACCTTTGGGAAGTTGTTGGGTTTGTGCTTTGGAGACTGTCTGTCAGTTTTGTAGTTTAATAAAAGACCTGTTTAATGTTCAGCTGTTGCATGCACGGTATGTGTGGGATTGGAGCACTAATCACTTGGCACAGGTGTTCAGTGGGGAAAGCAAAGTATTGGGGGAGGGGGAGAAAAACAGCTTCTGCAGTACTGGGTCCCCTCCTCTATCTTTCCCAAGCCCAGGGTGCCAGCTTAACAGCTAGCAGTTAGCACAAAAAAAAAAAAAAAGGGCAGCTACTGTAGGCCTGGCCAAAACATCTTTTCCCCCTTTGTCTAGCCTCCCAAACCTAGACATAATGGTCCCTCCATCTACTATTCCCCACTGCCCTCCCATGAATGCTGGAAATGACCACATAAGAGCACATGTTCGGTTGATAAAGTTTAATTGTGTATTATACGAGACCTTTCCATAAGCTACCATGCTGACCCTTGTCCCGAAGTCTAGCAAAATGGCTTGTCAGCACATCTTGCATGAGTGTTGCTGGCAATTAGCTTGCCTGTGACTGTCTGTGGGTGTGGAACCTGTGGGTGTGAGGGACTCATAGATTCATAG